CGCCTTGCGTCAGGCGGCGCCGGCCAAGCAGGGGTGGAGACACGGCGTCCCGCTTTTGCATCAGCCTCGTCGGTCCGTTCCAGAACCCCCCACACCCCACCCACCGAGCCCTTGGTTGGTCCCGGCCAGCACCCCACGTGCAGCCGGGGTTGCATCAGTCCACTGAGACGCACCGTGCACCGGTACCGGGCGTATCTTCGAATGCGTTCCAGTGCGTGAATGCGGGGTTGCATACTCGCAAGAGCCATGATGGCGTCGTACGTGTGAAGGGGGTAGGCAAACCCGCAACACCGGAACGCATTCAAAGATGCACCCGGTGCACACAGAGAAAAAACTACCTGCGAAACTAAAATAGTAGCTAACTATAGTTTTTGAAGCTAGCGAAAACGTTGTGGTACTACTAAATGTTTCGTTACACAGCAAAACGTTTAGCTATACCGCTAGGTTTTAGCTACCTAGCTCCGCATGTTGTTTTCCTTTGTGTCAGCGACGCCCCGTACCTACGTGCGTCGAATGACATTTAAAATGGGGAGTGAGACCGCACTTTCGCGCCGTTTTGTATAATCGGGAGAGCAAACATGACAAAGACGAGACCAGGGACTCGCGCGCCGCTGTCTCCGCTGCCGCGCGGCGCGGCCGAGGGCGCAGAGCTGTATCATTCTCCATCCAGCCGGGCCCCTAAGAGGGCCGCGTTTGTTTGCCGGGGTGGGTTTCAGAGGATCCATCTCGGTCGACTACTCGACCCACGTGGAGTCGTTGGCGGCACTGCGCCCTAACCCACCCCCGCGCCGCCACCCAGGAGCACACTAACCTCAAAGAATCACATTGAGACACCCCCCCCCCCCATCTCATCAGTTCATTCACGTATATTGACGGTTTTCGTTGTTTGTTTGCTTGTTCTTTCGCAACAACGGTCGTCGCTCGGTGACTCAAACCGTTGAACATCAGGGTCGTATGGGCGGGGATGGGATTAGCGCGGGTGGAAACCGGAGAGCTCCGGGGAGGTAGGAGGGAGGGTGTGGCGGGCCTGGCGGGCAGGGTGGGTGCAGTCGGGGGTTGAGGCGGTTGGTGGTGGGGTGGGGCGGGCGTCGTCGGTGGCATCCGGAACTATCCGGGGCGGTCCGGCCGCCGACGCTCTCGCACTGCACGTGCTGGCGGGTCTCGCACGCGACGGAGAGAGGCCCGAGGACGGCGTCGGCCGCGCGTCTGACGCGTCACCGCCGACCAATGGCGGGGGTCGCGCGGCCGGGGGGCTCGTCGCTATCGACCAATGGGACGCCGCGGGCGCGCCCTGCCGCCCCCCTCGCCGTCCCCCCCTGCTCCGCCCGCCGTCGCG